AAAAAATGCTTACAATGCTGTATCCATCACTTCTATTTTTTCCCCCTCGTGTTTGAAAGCATGTACACCACACGTTGAAAGAGTATATTTATTACCATCAAGTATATAATCATAAATGAAACACGAAGTTAATTCTGAACATTCTCTAAGACAAAAGTTACTATTACTGTAATTAGTATTGTGAGTCACTTTTGTGTATGACATTAAGAGACTCTAAAATGGGAAGTTCAAGCACAGGAAACCCTAGGGTTTGACGTAGCACTTATGTCTTCACATAGTTCAATGATTTCTGGGAGAAATTCATAGGAGTAAATTTACTATAACGAAGGGTGAAGTGAAGGGTAGATAAATTGAGAGTCCAATAAAATATCACAGTGAACTAACTGAAGAGCTTGAAATAGAGCTTAGAAAATAATACAGTTTTGACCACATTCAGGTGGAAAATGTTTTTTTCAGCCTCTACAGCTCCTTTTCTCCTGAACTTCCAACAGGAAAGTACCTATTTTTCAAGGATGAAAATCATTTTACAATTGAAGCAAGTTTGGAAATGCACCTAGATTATAATGACTTCAGCATAAGTAAAACCAGAAAAAGAAACCTTATTTTCTAACCATACTAAAAAATATAATTAAAGTTTAAAAATTGTTGAAAAGTTTCTTTGCAAGGTTTTCTCATAAGCTGTAACCCAAGCCCCATCTTTTTGTATTCAGATGCCTCATGTCAGAATTCACCTCTACAAATCCCCCCCCTCAAAAAAAAACCCCCAACGATAACAAAGCAATATTAAAGAGATTATTTCAAAGAAACATTAAAACAAGTCAAGCAACATCAGCTCAACAGTTTCAGTGAGACTACACAATGAACGAGGAGCTAAATATGAAATGCTAATTTACATGCCAAAATCATTCTAATGAAAGCCTTTTGAGCATGAAACTAACTAAAAGCAGAGTTCTTATCTATTAGAAACCGCTAAGCATTTTCATTCATACAACATGAATGTGACAATCCAAAATGCTACCACACAGTTAAAAACGCAAGTACTGTGGAAGAGAAAATGCCCTTTTATTTTCAAGGCACCTATGATACGATAAGCCATTGCTGTAATCCTGCTAAACAACAGGCTACAAAACGCTGCCACACAGGACACCAGGTTTGCCTCCTTCCTGCTTCCTCCATTTGAAACGCTCTGGAGCTAAGCCAACATCCTCATGATCCCTTCTTGCTATCTTCATAGCCTTTCTCTTGTATCCTGCCCCTAACCATCACCTCATTTCTCTCTATCCAGAAGGATTTGCTGACCATCAAGCAAAAGGCCGCTCTGCAGAGAAGCAGTCCAGATTAAAACAGAGGTTCCACCTCCCAAGAGATTTTAACAAATCCCTTTCAATTAGCAATTCTGCACCTCTCCTTCCCAACAGCAACAACGAAAAATTAAGTGCTTCATAATTTGAACTCAGGCACCAAAAGTGGAACACAACAGACACCCCAATTAAATGGGGCCTTTTATGCTAAATGAAGAAAGAGAGAAGAGGAGGAAGAAGAAACGGAGCTCTGAATTTCCACATCACAGCAACTTTCAGTTTAGAGCAGTTAATTCACCACAGATACAAAATATGCATCAAAATTTGAGGTTTAATTGCCTGCCTCAAAGCTTCAGCTGCCAGACTAAAACCCTTCTTTTTTTGAATGTTTTCAACTTTTAACCTTCTCTCGTCAACCTTCCAGTAGAAACAACAAAACTTCCCAACAACAGCAGAGCAAAACTTTTAACACTTACACCTCATTACCAACTAACTTTTAATATTCTTACAGAGAATGCTTTTTCCAATTTGATAAATGCACAGTACGAAATCTTTTGGGAACACATCAGAATACACCATCTGTTTGTTAGACTCCCCAGAGGAACTGACCTTCCACTTCATGGAAGGAAAGACCAGCTGTGCAGGCCTACTTTAAAGAACCTACCATGACGATGCACCTGATCACAATGCAGGCTCCAAGCCTGGAGCCAACAATAGCTTGTAGTCTTAATACTTCTGTTTTCTACTGTAAGCACTGTTTGTAAAGGTGCCTAAAGCCAAAATCATACAAAAGTCAATCCGCAATAACTCATGAGCTGAATGCCATAAAAAAAAAATCTGCATAGCAAAATACTTAGGTTAGAATTACCACTGTTATTATGAAAGATCTTCAATGTATAATTATTTTCAGGTTTCATATTAAGTATGTTTATATATAAACAAAACATCTAAGAAGACACATGAATGTAAGCAATTATAGAATAATTTGATGAACTACAGAGCAAACTAACATGTAATGTATGTCTGGCTTTAAAACCAAGCATTTCCCACTCTGTAAACAGATTCATGGACTTCATGACAAAACAAATAAGCAATTTCCTGATCTTTTTAAACCAAAACCTCTTCATTATCTTCAATCAATACTTTAAAACATCAAATCAAAGACGTAAACCTTTTCTCATCCCCTATATAGAAATTTATTACTGAAACATTTTCTAAGCATATAAAAATTACGATAATCTTGAACTGGGGGAGTAGGAACAGAGACATCAGACATTACATTACAGACAGGCATACATGGCTGTACAGAAGCATGGAGTCTTTCTCAGACGAAGAGCTGGAGAACTGAATTGCACAAGACTTCGCAATGGAGTGCTGCAAACTGGCACCACCTTCTGATATCAAGCAGGAAATGTTATTTTTTCAGCTGTGATAAAATTTCATGTAATTCTTAATATATACACCATTCCCAATTTTCTATTGAGAGATTTACTTCCAGCCAGCCCGAAGTTTTAGTCTCTAGGTTACCATATTTTCAAGAGAGATGGTTTCTAAAATGTCACCCACAACACTGAAGCCACTCATCAAAATCTCCAAAATTTATTTATCAACTTCTTTAAAAATCACATTTATTCCAAGATGTTTTCAGAACGATACTATAAAGCATTTTGACAACTGTTAAGCTACTAATGCCCTTTGACCCACTACTCCTGCTAAAGCAATACAATCTCATTATTTTCATACACTTCAGAGCGTTATGGTAGGAGCCATAAGTCCTCCTCCTAAGCCCCCTATTTCACACCTATCTTTCACTATATGTTATTAAAGCAGATGCCCCTCTCCCTACATAGGCTGCACGTAGGGCTCTTACAGACAAGATCTATATGATGTAATTTCATAGTACAAAAAAAAACTTTCCCAGTGTACCCTTCAAAAGAGCAGTGTATAACAGGACCCAATCTCTCCTCCTATAGAATAATTTTATCAAAACATCAAATCTACATTTCACGTTAAAAAAAAAAAAAAAAGGAATGGATTTGTATTGTCTAGATAGGAAGTGATAGTAGGCACTCTTTTACCTATAGTGCTACATTCCATGCAAATGAATCACACTACTCAGAAAGGCATACAATTGTATAAAAGTGCATTTCTTTTTCAAAGAAGCCTATGGATAGCAGCAGTCCAGAAGGTTCAAATAGAACTAGAACGTGAAACGTCAGATCCAGACACACTCCTGAAGCTCTGCTTTGAGTCACAGCTGTGCCTACAGTCTGTGGAGAAATTGTAAACAACTGCTTCAGAAATGCAGGTTGAAAAGCACGGGGTGTATTTTCGTGGAAGCTCGGCCGTGTGAAACGGACCTTGCCCACAGCTGTGCCGTTGCACAAGAGCTGACAAGCTGCAGCCTTGCTTACTAAGAACCTCTGCGAAACACACACCGCACGGTAAATCTCACGGACCAGAAGCAGCAGTCCTACTCGCTGCCGCGTTAACCAACAGGTGCGTAAGCTCCAACGTTTGCACATCAAGCCAAATATTCACAGGCAAAAGCAAAAACCAGAGCACTTCCAACACACCACACTCCCGCACACTGCGGCCCCGCCAGTCGTCCCTGCTGAGGCAGCTGAGCCTCCTCGCGGCCGGACGGGGCGGTGCGAGCCACGGAACGCCGGCCAGGAACGACGTTTCCGCAGCGACTTACTGCACGGCCGCTCTAAGAGGCGGATACGGGTGCGTGCCGCCTGGAGTTTTAGCGCTTACCGCCCGTCCGCCGCCGGCTCCGAGGCGCTGCCATGGCTGCCCTGCCCCAGCTCGCGCTCGTGCTCCCGCGCTTCCCGCCCTCAGCGGCCCCTTGGAAAGCATCGCTAGTGATGGAAATGGTGCACAGAGAGCTAACGCCTGACTGTGCTGCGCTACAACAGCTGTTAGTCAGTCGATGGGTGGAAAAAGGAAAAAGACAAACGCTCAGACATAATCTTAACTCTTCTTCTGTTGCTGCTATACATTAATTTTCCCTCATATTAAAGCACTTTTCTATGACTAGAGCTATATTTACCAGTGCAAAAACAATATAATAAACAAGAATATATCCCGCATGTATCTGCGTACGCAGGTAATTTTATCTTTTAAAATATTACTATTACATTAGAAAATAAACTAGCAGAGACAAATAGACACTCTTTCAGGAGAGGAGTTTGCACTGCAGTGAAGTTTCCTGTAGCAGCATAGGGACGTTTTGATGAGCAAGTTCCCAACACAGAGCGTTACTGACAACGTATGTAAGCTGACATCTTGCAGTTTGCTTTTCAGTCACAGCTCTTCAGATGCACTTCTCATTTTTAAGCATATCCATCAGATAAGAACAATTTTATTGTGCCAGAGAAGCTAAAAAACATACCTTGATGTAACGAAGGAAATATTACCTGGGAAAACTGCAAATTCTAGTGACATAGTAAGAAATAAACCTCAATATGATTAACAAGAATTTTGTAAAGATCACTTTTTTGTGTGTGTAAGAGGCAAAGAGGCATGTAAAACATTTCTCATAATCCGTTCCTGACATTTTAGTAAATTTTTTCCATCAACAGACAGCTATCATGCATTATGCCAATAAAAGTCTCCTGTACCATGCATCGCAGCAGCTCAACACCTGAGATGTAATATACTCCATCTTCAATCATAATTTCAAGTACTGAACACTTTGGCAAGGGAGTTCATAAGTTTATTAACCTTTCAAAGTGCAAATATAGCCAGCTCTTACAGTTCATTTGTCCTCAGTCTAACTTGCCCTTAAATCCATCTGGAACATCTCCCTGATGAAGGCAGCACACCTGTACTCTACTTCAGACAGCATAAACAAACTTAAAACACAGATAAAATATTTTCCTATAATAGTTTGTTTCAATTACATCCTGTGTATATTTTATTTTCAGAATGTTGTTCAACAGCAAGAAATACATCATCAATTTTGCTCTTTCCCTTTATCATAAAAGAAGCAGTGTAACCTTCTGCCTGTTTTTGTCGTTAATCACCAGAGAGATGGTAATTTCTGCTGCACTTCTGCCACACACCCCCTCAGACTAGGAACAATGAACAGAAGTCAGTAAGGGTGTCAAAATAATTAATAACGTATGTGTGTTGCAACTTGTTTGGGAATAGCTTATAGTGAACAACTACATACAGTTAGCTTGCTTATTCTTACTGGTTACATTTAAAGAGGTCTAGAAACCTCATTTTCTCCAGGGGTAGGTTAATATCTTTTCCTACTGACCTTAACTCCACTTGCTTCAGAGCCAGGATTTTACTAAGAATCAAGGACTGAAGTGACCATGTATCTTCAGTAACAGAAGATATGTAGCCATCTTCGACATGCAGGCAGTGCATTTTATGCACATGCATGTTTCTTATGTTCTTATAGTGAAAAACAGATTTAAATTAAGAAATGTTGAAATGTTTGCTGCTTGGCCCACAGCATATAAATCAATTTATCAGTGGATTATCACAGGATACCTCATCACTGCTCAAGAGTTAACTCAAGAGTAGTTTAAGATTTTTAAAATATATATTTAACTGCAAAAGTTCACATGTGTAATCTTCTTTCTGTAGTTGCATGATGGAGCGTTCAGCTGAACACGTACAAAAAGCCCATCCCTAATGCAGTTGAACAGACAAAGTAGTCTGCCTTTATTAATGTACGGTGCTGTAGCTCAATGCATACCAAATTCAAAAAGGTTTGTCTTTAACCGTGCATTTGCAAACATCCATTTAATCTTAAACAGACAAAGAAAAAAAAACAAAAACAAAACACGAGCACTCTTCCTCATACATTCAGCTCAGTAAAGAACCACTCCAGTTTGCTACGTGTAAGATTTTGATTTGACAAGTCTAAAAATCATAGCTACCTAAAGTAAGTTTGTGCATAATTAGTCAGCATAGGAGCCAGTGACTATCAGCATTTTTTCTAGTCCAGATGCAGTTTAAGTGATAGTGCAAGCAGGACATTTCTGTTGCTATGTAAGCAAAATGTTCATTTATGCCCCGTGATGACAAGACCACAGAAGTTTCATGAAAAAAAAAAAAAAAAAAAAAAAAATCAATCAAAATAAACTTCTACAAGTCATAAAGAATTTCAAGGATAACACTAATCGACCAGGCCTGAGTTTCACAGCTAAAAGGACAATACTGCCCATTTTCATTGGTCAGTTCTGGGAGCCCTTTCCAGGATGATCTGATAAAAGAAAGAAAAACAAACAAACAAACAAAACCAAGAGTATTGTTGTTAGATTACACACTGAAATGAACATTACATTGTAAAAGTTTTAAGAATAGTATTTCAGTAGGAAACTTAAACAATATCTGTATTCCTACAGTCACAGTATGTTATTTAATAACTAAGCTCCAACTCAATTACTTCTGCTGCAGAAAACTGCAGATCTCTGTGAGAATGTAGATTCTCTGACATTAATACCTGAAGTTATGCTACTAGAATGATACTCCTGTTTCCCATTCAGTAGCTTGAAGTACCAGTTTGAAGAACCTATGTTATCTTTGAGATAACAAATTAACTGGATTACCTATCCAGTTTCAAACTATACTTGAAACTTGATTATGGTGCTAAAAAGTGATGAAGGTTGGAAGATAGTGTGAAACCATAAACCTTCCTCCTCCCCACAGATTTGTTTATGTACAAATCCCTTTTCTTCCTTACATGATTAGCTAGACAAACCCTTCCATCATAGACTACTGAATCCAATTGATTGTACCCCTCTTAGGGGTACAAGTGAATGCATGTTTGATGTACTACAAGAACAGATTGTATCGAAGGGTTATCAAGGGGAAGACTTTTGTTTTTGTCTCAAATTCTTAAGAATTAACAATACAATAGAAAAAGCAATTTGTTTATTTTAAGAAGGAAACCTCAAAATGCAAAGGAACATTTCTGTTGTGAATTCCTCTGTCTTCTTGGAACACCAATATTATTAAGTTTTTGAAGTGGACAGACTAACATATTAGATCTTCCACAAAATTAGTTTTCTCTAGTCTTCATGTGGGTAAATATTATTGATTCCAAGTATCTATGAACAGCACTAGATCTCAATTGTACTTTAAACCTGACTTGAGATCTGCAATAGGATTCATAGTGGCCAACTTTGTATGCAGAAAACAGATGCTATTTATGTTATAGTCTTTGATGTAGTAAAAATAAGTAGTATATTACTGTACATGCAATCAGGTAGTAGATACCACCAGTCACTGAATATTTTGAATCTATCTTAGATGGTATTTTACCTTTCAAGGTGAACATAGTGGCGAGAAAGGACGTTCTTTATCATAACCACAGTTTTTGCATATATCTCTGGACCAATCAATTTTGAGAAGTACAATTTGGCACGAAGAAAATATCCAATCGGCCATACCCATTCCTAAGCAAAGATAGGAGATGATTATTATGGCTGTCAGTTTCAAGGAATGTCAGCACTTATTTTTAAATTCAAGAAACAGCTCTTACAGGCCCTTGGTGGTAATTAAAACCTCTGGCTACATTATAGTTGTCATTGTCAAGAGCATTATCATATACTCCGCAGTACACCATATCACTGCAAGAAAAACAAACAAACAAACATAAGCAAAACATTAACAGAAATAGTGTACACTATGCATAGCAGAAATGAGCCAAAAATTTTTCATGGGATTTACATCCAATAGGGGTTCGGTCAGGCAGGTCCCAAAATTCTACATTTTGCATAACAATAGAATTCCAAATACTATTCCAAATACTGTACTAACTAGGGGGAAAATTGTTAAAATTTTCAGATGACTTCTATAATTTCACTCCTATGCTTTTATTCAAATTGTAGTGCTATGCACTGTATGATACTGAATTTGCATTTTGATGCCTACTCGTATATTTTGTGATAACAAATTTGAATTGCTTGCTACATGGCATCCAAAAACACCTGGAAATTGCCTACATAAATAAAATCAACTGCATGGAGTTTTAGAACAGTAAAATACTCATTTATTGAGTATTTATTGCAGCCTTATTTCACAACTATATACAGGGATTTTAACAAAACATAACTCCCCAGATCATAATTTCTACTGCCACTTATTCTTATGTTTCTTATACTTACTCTGGATCTAAAGTTTTCATGCCCAATGGACCAAGTAGTTTTTCCTCTGCTATCCTCAGAGCTTTCCAAGCTCTCTCAGGTGTGAACAACTCAGGGGCCTAATAAAACAGAGATTTACTGAATTCTGCGTAGGTACGCACACAAGACTATGCATATGAATGTTGAGGATGACAAAAACCTCTCATATTACTGAGTGAAAATACAATTACACTTCCAGAAACTAGAGACAGAGTAACCAAGAGAAAAGCTATAAGTTACTTTGGGTTTTATTATCTATTTTAAGTAGACTTGAAAAACATTTTTATAAAAATAAACAATCCATGCATTTTAGCTAATCTGAGGGGAATTCATTAGCAGGGGGTTGGATTTGATGATCTCCAGAAGTCCCTTCCAACCCATGCAATTCTTGATTCCTTGAGTCTGTGACTCCCCTCCCCTCAATCTAACCTAGAACAGATAACCTGAACTCTCTGAAAATACCAAACTCTGCAAATTTATCCCAGTGATAAATTTCAACAGCAGCTTCATATAGTTAAGTTCGGGCAAAGTTACACTTTTATCAGATATTCTAATATGGGTCAATATTAAAAGCAAAGACAAGAAAAAACACTTTCAAAATTTCTTCTAAGCAATATTTATTCCTGATATAGTGCCATGCAGCTGAGTCTTATAATACATGTTTAGTTCAATAATAAAATAATTGTAAGGGTAAATGCTTCTTACTCACTACTCTTACTTACCACGACCATTGCTATGGTAAAATTTGGCCTGAGTTGGTAATCACACCATGGACTTGAAGCTCCATAGCTGTCTTTATAAATCCCACGTTTGTGAACTAGATTTGGATGTTTTTCATTTTGATCTGCAGGGTTCTCAGAGACAAAGAAGAGTCTTTCAAAGTGTCCTTGAATTTTTCTGTTCCATTCATCATATGTGATGGTCTCCTCCTTTCCTGCAAAATATTACACAAATTTTTTCTTCAAACCCCCAACAGATGCTTATGGCCAGCTCTGCTTACTACTGTTTTACTTAATATATTCCTAACACAAGCAAGGCCATAGAAGCACTGCAAAAAAAACTGAAATTGAATTATGCTGCAGATCAACTCTGTCACCCGCACAATTTCTTAGAACACAGCTCTTCCTCACTTCTTTTAACTAGCTAAAAATGAACAGTATGAGTTATTATGAACTATAGTAAATATTTAATTGACTAAGTCTAAAGTTTACGTTCAACATTTTCAGCATGATAACATGCCATCTTTTCTGTAGTAGCTTGTATAAGTACTCTAGGAGACTACAAAAGGAATATCAAATCATCTGTACAAGTGTCCCTTTTAAAAGCTCTCGCCTTCTGAATTCCTGGCACTTAATGTAAGAGGAGCACACCTTGTCACCTCTCTCCACCTGGTGGTTCTCCATGTCAGGTGAATTCTACAGCTCATAAAAGCAGCTCACTGTAGTTTCAAACAAGACTAGAAAGGTGTCTAGAAAACACCAGACAGCAACTGCTTGCAGGAACACTGAAACAGTATCTCCTTATTTAAGCACGATTAAGTTTCATTTTCAGTAGACCGGCACCACATAGCACAGGTGGATTGCACTGTGAGACACCAATGCAGAAGTTCCGTATCTAATTCTTAATTTTAAGTTAACAGAAATATTGTGTTTGCAACACAGATAACAGAAACAAACACAGAATTCAAACAAACAATAAAATGGTTTAGTATGGGAAAGTAAAGAAAGTATGATTATCATACTTCTACTACATTTTAATAAAAACTAACACTAGTATTAGGAAACTGAGATGTACATTTATTTTTGAAAAATTTAAATTCCTCTTACTTTTTCAGATGTTAGCCTGCAGACCTGTGCTAGGAATATCCTTCCAATTGAGATACACGTACATCTTAGATAAACAAGTATATCAAAAAGGACAATACTACTAGATATGGTATGCCAGAAGACAAAAGCAAGCAAAACAAACCACAACTAGAAACTCCAGTGCTAAGCCTGCTATTATGAGCCAATAGAATGTAAGTCAGTTTTAAAATGGATTAATCAGTTAATGAATGAAATTTAAACTTAAAGAAAATGAAAGACAGTAGGGAACACACAAGCATCAAATTCAATCTAGAAAAGTCACTTACAATTCTGGGATAATAGGAAGAAGTCTGTATCTACACTTCATAATAATGCTTCACGCTGAACCCTGAATTGTCTTTCAGATTTTAAGATATTTTGAAGTGACAGTTAAGTTCATGACCTAAGAATCTGGGTGTATAGGAGAAAGCCCTGTACTCACATTTTCTAATATAGAATAAAAGAACCATTCAATGAAATGTTTTCAAGATTAACTTTGACTGAATGGTAGAACAGCTTTAGAAGTCATTTATATTCACCTGAGCCCCATAAACTCACTGAAGTAACTCAGATCAGAGCAGCATCCCTATGAAACAGAGGGGACATCTAAAGATACTTAGGTCTTGTGTCATTTTAGTTCTCTTCCTTGAATGATGTGCACCATTACGATACATAATGATCACATCACCAATATCCATTTGAGAAACATGGTTTAGGCTCATTCTTTCAAAATTCTTTTGAAATCCACACCATATTATATGCAATAAAACATTTCATACATTGATCGATAATCGACTCCTAGTAATTTTAGTAACAAAAGAGGTGACTTACACAAAATACTTTACTCAAGTTTGTTTTTTCCCTTTCATGAATAGTTTTGATAATCATTCCTGATGTAATATGGCCACCAGCTCATATGACTTATTTTCATACTCCCATAATAGATTCATGACATCTGTTCAATTTTACCGTATTTTTTTATGGTGACGCCATGGAACGGATATTCATTTTTCCTAGACAAATCCAGCAACCAGCGAACAGCCGACTTGCACAAGCCAACAATCTCCACAGCAGAGCCATCTCTAAAACAATGTTTTAAAAGTCCAAGAATTACTTTAAGAAGGCTATTTAATATACAGATTTTTTCCAGTTACTTGCAGAACTTTAAGCACCTTATTTAAGTAGTGTATTTTTTCCCCCACTGGTTATGCACATTGTTTTATATAAAAAAAAATAAAATTTTATTTTGCCTCAAAACTGCATACCACATGTATGAAGAACTGGCACGTGCATCCCCATCATCATCTCCAGACATTTTCTAGTACATTATGACATTTTAACACAATTTTTTCATCACATTTTCCTTGCTATTACTTAAAGACTTCCAAGAATCTGATAACCTAAACTAACTTTTATTAGTAAGTAGTCACAAGCCATTCACAGTATCATTCACTTTCAGTTTTCTCCTACTAGCTTGGAATACATATTTTATGAAGAGGGCTAGAAGGGAGAAAAAAGCCCATAAAAACTACAATTTAGAGGAAGACAAAGTGTACAATATGATAATCCAAAAGGAAAATGGTACTTCCAATCCAGTGCCTCTTACTACAGCCACAGCCTGTAGTAAAGCATAAACCTGAATGCTGAAAATTGGTCTATGCAAATAAGCAAAGTAAATGCTTGCATTGAAGATATTATGCATTAATAAAATGAAACTTAATACAAATATTAGGTGATATTGCAAGTCTGCAAAAATATTGCACTAAGCTTGCAAAAAATGTCATTAATAAACACAAAGGCATGCATTAGAAATATACTAATAGTCGCTAAGACTACCACAAGAGCTTGTGCTTTTATTTCAACACTGTTACCATGAAGAACTGTTTCCCAGAGGAAACCTAACATAGATTCTTTATGAAAAAAAGACAATGACACTTTACTGCTTATAACCCAAGTAAAAGTTTACAAATCACACAAGCAAAAAAAAAAAAAGCCAGAAACAGGGAAACAGCAGCACTAGACTGCTTTAAATCAGTCTGTTTGGATATATAATTTGCATACCACATACTTGCATACCACACTGCCACACTATTTCTCCCTATCTTATAATCTTATATAGACTTCTGCCATCAGTATAAAGCAAGAAAATCACAGGGTTTGTTTCACTACTCACGTCATATCCATAGAGTTGGTTACAGAAGAGCTTGATTTCTAAATATTTTACCCTTCATTTTAAACTTTAAATATTGCAGATATTCTTATATTTTAAAAAAATAAATATTTAAACCAATTGTCAAAAGTATCCCCTGTAACAAGAGGTCATACATCATCAGTCCAGATAACAAATATTTCAACAATCTAGTACTGCAAGTATACAAGTTTTCCTGAATTTATTTACTATTTACTATTTGATGTTCAAAGTTTACTCTTTACAAGGAGTGAAGTCCATGCTAGAAGATGAGCACTGCCCCCACTTAATAAATAAATAAATAAATAAATAAATAAAGCAAGCAAGCAAGCAGGCTGGGTTTTGCACCTTGGAGTAGCAGGGATTCCTTTGTTGCGAGCTCTGTCGCTCTCTCCCATTTTATCCATCCAAGTGCCGCAATTGAAGCGGTTCCCTCCGAAGACAAAGCCAGTTTCACGGTCAACACCCGCTATTATATTAAAACCTGCCAAGCAAAAATATCACGTGTGAAACCTATATGCTAAGAAAACACAAAACCCCAAGTGTCTGCCCCAGCACAAAGATCCTACAAAAACAAAAGCCCTGCAGAAAAGAGAGATCGGAGGTGGGTTTTCACAGGCAGCTGCACTTTTTGTGTGAACCTCTAAAATAACTTATCACAATTGCTGAAAGCAAACAAGCACTTTCTAAGCATTAAGTGCACTTATAGTAGTATTAGAAATTAAGAAATTTCCATTAAGAAAACCATCACTTTTTCAAAAGTAAACTCAATAGCTTAATGTAAAATAATCAGATGCAATATTCATAGTTTGAACTGCATACTAAGCGTGCTATATACATACTTTTTTTTTTTTTTTTTACCTTCATCTCTCATGTTTTGATCTATTTGTGGACCAGCATTTCTTTCTCTGAAACTTATGCCTTCCATGTGTCGTTGCATTGCCTCCTGTATTACTTCATAGAGTGGCTGATCCTAAATTGGTTGGCATAGAGAAAGGTAAGATCAACAGACCTAGTAAAAAGGCTCTATATAATGTGCAAACAGTTGCACTTCTTAGCCTCTATGATACTTAAAAAGAACAGCATCTAGATTTTCAGCAGCATCTTTATCAATATGATACACTAAAAATAGTTTTTAGAATTGTGCAATTATTAACATTAAATTCTTTTCAAAACTGAAAGCAAATAAAAATGTAGAATATATTTTTTTCATACTCCCACCTCACATCTGTCTAATCGAGTAATGCAAACGTAGTGGAAAGTATCCAAGACATAATTCTTGTAGATAGATAAGCTATAATCTTTCATAAAAATTACAGCTGTGTTACAGACTTTAAAATCAAAAGTCATCTTTACCACAGTGCCTGCAGGCTGAGGAGAAGAATCATCTCTTGGGTACATCCTAGAAACGGGACACCTGAGAATGTCTAATCCATTTGGAACAATCTTACAGTAGTCCTGGATACACTGAAGCCACCACCATACAGCATCACGGCAGTTGTATCTGGCATGTGTTCCTTGGCCAAGCAGGTTAGGAATGAGACCATGTCTTAAAGTCCCACCAAATGCCAGAATTATGTTTCTAAAAAGAAGAGAACAATCTTAAGTTACTTCCAGGCAATTAATGGACCAAAGATTAATTACAAAGCATACAAGTTTATCTCAGTAGCAAAGTTAAAGAGAAAAACAGTATCTTAAAGACAGATTTGTAGCTTCCAACAAAATGTTTCGGCATGTCTTCATTTAGTATATACTTCATTAACAATAATAATAAAAAAATCATTACTTCAGAAACTTCCCAATACTTTTTTCTTTTTTTTTTTTTTTTTGAAGATGAAATATGTAACTCCTAATATGGTAAAGGTAATTTCCTTTTTCATGGTTTGCCTCCTTTGATGTCACAGGGAAAGGTTTCAAATGACATTTATTGTTTTTTATTGTCATTTATTATCTTTATATCGATTCAGGTGGAAGTGGGAAGTAAGGGAGAGCAGGATCAAATGGGAGATTCCTATTAAAATACAAAGAGGAACCAGAAACTGAAGTTTTGAGAAGTTTTTATGCTTTGCATAAAAGATGAACTCCATCTGGCTTTAAATTACAAGATAAACATACTTGAAGACTACAGATGTAACTGCAGACAGGCAGTATTAGTTGATCAAGTGTACAGCAGCATAAATACATGCTAATTTAAACCAACTAAATTCTATATCCATATCCTGTAGAGTGCTGCACCCAAATTAAAAAGATTAATGCAAGATTAATGAAAATTGTCAGCTCAGTAAGTCTGGCTTATATCTGACTCATTTATCAGGTTAAACATTTGCGTCTCGCACACAGATACCAGATAATAACAATCCATAGTTAGCTGATTTCCAGTATTAGACTAGATTAGCAGTCACCAAACAAAAAGTTATGACAGACAGGAAATAGTATCTTTCTGATCACAATGGAAATCCCTTGCTACTTCAAATTTTTAAATAAGTTACTGCTCAGCAACAATACTTGAAATAATCTCGTGGTTTAAGGACAAGCGGGAGTGTTATGGGTTAGAATTGCCTTATCTATATTGAGCATCAGCTGAAATACCAGTGCTCAGGATGCAGAACAAAGCAAAATAAAGTATTTTTCATTTCATTTACAAAGAACTCACAAATCCACCTGGGGCCACAGAAATTTTATACAGTACATCAACTGTTTCTAACAGCTTCCATGTTCTCTAGGGTTTTGAGAGCGTGTCTTTTTCCTAAACACCTGCAAAACTATTTCTATCAGCAGAAAGAACTAAGCACCAGATGCTCTTACCTTGCTTCTATATAACGTCCCGTAAGTAACATTAGGCCTCTAAGTGCAATAAAGGTGTCCCTTCCCCAAGAACGGAAGATTCCAGAAGAGAAGTGAGGTAAACCTAATAAGAAATGCTGTTAATCTCATTTACGGATGGGACAAAAATCTCCAGCAGACATGTCTAACATGTATACAGAAAACAGAAGTAAAAATATATCCGTGTGCAACTGTAGATTTTTCCTAGAATTGTTCTAAGAAGAGTTTGTTGTATTCTACAGCTTTAAAATCATGCAATAGACTATCCTAATTGATAACAGTCACATTCAGTTGCTGTTTTTTATTTTGTTTACACACTACATAGTATAACCAAATGCCATCTTTTAATTAAAATAACGCCACCACAAAAAAAAAAAAAAAAAGCCATAACCAGAAAAGGAACAAACAAAAAGCCAGAACAGTGACATGATATATAATGCTTTGTTGGCAAGAATTTACGTTTAAAAGCCATGTCACTTCAGTAGTATAAAGGGAATGACTAGAGAGCTATGAATTTCTTCAGCCTAGAAATACTCTCAGTCACTATAAAAGGAATCCTGCTTCTCTTTTGGAGCGATTCCTAGAACTACATTTTACAGCAGACATTATGACATAACTTTATGCTTTAACTGTAAGATTTCTTTTCTTAATTGCAACAGTTAAAGTACATTTTTTGTCTTTTCTTCTATTTGTTAGCTTTCCCAATCTAACAAACAAGAAATGCATTATGGTGGTAAAGGTTCAAAAGAATAGCCTGCTGTACATGCTTGCTTAAACAAAACTGTGGCTTCTGTCACTAAATCACCTACTGTATTTGCTAATGCTCCAATACAACCTCTGCACATCTGTAATTTTACATAATATGGCAACAGCAGCTTGAGAACGATGATCCATTTACGAGTTAAAAGTATCACAGGCTCAAATATGTGATGAGAATATTTAAGACCAAGTCCGTCTGTATAATTAATGTCTGTGATTAAATTAAGTGAGCTGTGCTTGTCTGTGCTTCCAGGCAACACTAAAACAGCCAAATGGAATGTTACTCGAAACCAGAAACTAAAAGCAGTACAATTCTATGGAAAAGACATACAGCAGAAAGAGCAGCAAAGGAAACCCAGCCAGCCAGGGGCCATGGAACCCGCAGATGCTAAAAGTTTCTATGGTTAAAAAAATAAAAAAAAAAAAAAGAGTGGGCCAATTTGGAGAAAAAAATTAAAAGCCACTAAACACAGTAAATAATACTTCTGGCACAGCAAAGTGCCCACTTCCAAGACATGCTGGCAGAACATTTGGAGAAATAAAATGCATCTACTGACTGCTTTTATGGTCTTTCCTAAGCAACTATTGTTGCCCCTTTTGGAGAGAGCTCAAGACCAGAGATTCTTTTGGTCCATTAATAGCTCTCATGTCACTCCTAAAAACTTGTAAGCAGTAAATCCTCGCTTGCAATTCATTACAACTCAGTTCTTAAATTAACATTTTAAAACAAACTAGAACCTATTATGGGAAGCATTATTATCCCAATCAAGTCTTTTGGACAGAAAGAAAACATGCTTGTGGATCTCCGTAAATGGAAAAACTGGATAAGTTAAAAGTGTTTTAACAAAATACTGAGAAGCTTTTTTTCCCCCTGAGAGCAAAAGTAAAATTGTTATCCCTCAGAAGTACTGCTAGACAAAACTCCATTCTTTTTAAACAGAAAACATTTAACTTAAAGGCAAGTTAAAACGCAGGGGAAGAGTAAGGACAAAAACAACATTTGAAATACAGCTTCTGGCATTTAAATCCCAAGGGTAGTGAAAGCAACTCTGATAGTTTCGAAATAAATATAACTGTTCTATAAGAACTTATTTTTCTTGATGTAAATGTTGTTCTCACTTACCAGCTGCTAAAGTAACACAGCACTGTTCTTTCTTATTTGTAATCTCATTCAGCCTATAGGGAACATCATGTAAGGAAGGAGACAGATCTGGCAGACATGCATATTTTCCTATCCCACACATCTGGATTGAGCCCAGGGAAAGGTGTTTAACAAATGTTGATCCATTCTGCACAAAGCTGTAATACAATATAATCAAATTAAGAAATATGTGCATACAAAAATATCAGTGCCCTTTTTTTCATTTGCAGAAAAGTAAAACAAAGGTTATACACAATATTATAAAGTGACAGAATCAATTAGTGGATTATGCATTAACTTTGCACATAAGATTTAATTTTTAATTTACTTTTTTTTCCAAACAAGCTGTCCAAAGTTAGCCTTAAATATTTAACTTATTAATGCAAATGGGAGTGTTTACATGTAGAATACTTTTAGGGAAAGGTGCAGCAAAGTGAAATTGATTTAATTTATTTGATGCCTACATATTGATCTCAGACCTCTGCATCTGTATGTATATATATATATTCTTCTCACATAATAGAATCCTAAGTCATTAACTCATTTAGCATATTGGCTAATATAACACAGCCCGCAATCCTGACTTTTTTCATAAAATACACAGTGTTTTCCACATGGTATCACAGCAATACCAAATCCAACATCATTACTTTTCATGAAATTATTTGTTGAGAATATTCACACCTAGAATAGAGCTGTCATTAAATTGATCTTCCGTCCTTTTCCAGGAAAGGGCACTGATAATTTCCAGAACTAAGGGCAAAAGAAACACTGAACAAAGCACTAGAAGAAGTGCAATCTCTTTCTCCCAGAAAGCACTGCAGCCTCACTAAAAGCAGCACCAAGATAACCTCTGCAATGCTTCAGAAAATGCTTGTTATAAGGTTTTATCCTCCAACAGTACAATGCCAGCAATAGTTATAAATCCAAATCCAGGATAGAAATAGCAAATTAAGCCTTCCAAACCATCGCAGCTAAAAGACTGATTTGATTTTCACTACCAACAAATATTGCCATCTTCCATTGGACAGCACAAATACAAAAACAATATTTAAACGTCATTCTTCAACAGATCAAACATAAAAGTTGCAATATCTCTACATCACTGACATGCCAAGCATACCTAGACATCTGATGCCATCCCACATCCAGAAGAGTTGTGTATGCACCCACTAAAATGGCATCAAAGTAACATGGAATAAGGTAACGTGGAATTTTCTTCAAATACACAAACATGGCCTTCAACCATTTACCAACCTATTAAAATATAACACTGTTAGAAGTTGACAACACTGGAGTTCAAAAACAGTGCTTATAGGATATATTTGGTTAAAGCATTTATTAGATTTTTAACAGATATGAGAATGCTACAGTCTTTCTTACTACATTAATTACCTGAGTTACCCAAATAAAATCTTGTGAAATGAATAAAGCAATTCTCTTGTAGGAAAGTAAAGATGTTTTGTAATGTGGGTATGCAGGTAACTTGAATCTCAGTGCTTGATGGCGCAAATCTTACTTTAACTGCATCATAATCATGTATGCCTCAGTAGTATTTAGAGCCCTTTCTGAAAGAACTCGCTTAAAAAGATGGCTACTTCATTTTTATTTGATGGGAAGTAATAAACAGGGAAGGAGGCTTTCAAGCTTTTATGTAAGAGCTAAAAAAAACTCTCCATGCCCTACATATATTCTCCAGCTCTCTTTTGTAATGTATTCTTAAATAAGTTCAGTGCGAAGTAAGAAAACCACATTATTGCCTTAGTATCCCAGAAGAAACTGCCTAGAGAAGTAATATTTTATCGACAGACTGAATCTGAAGGGCAGGTTGGATCTGGCCCTGGGCTGCCTGGTCTAATATTAAATGTGGAGGCTGGCAGCTCTGCCTGTGGCAGGGGGGTTGGAGTCTGATGATCCTCGAGGTCCCTCCCAACCCAAGCCATTCTATGATTCTATGAACTTGTTAACAGTAATAATGAAAAACAAAGCAAAACAGTCATTTGAAACACCAAAATCATGAAAAATATATTTTTACTCACTTCTGCACAGGCTCCTGCACGTGAAATCAGACGATTACTGACATAATCGATCATCCAGTCTCCAGATCTTAAATTATTACAGAATGGATGTCCCAGATCATTCTTTGGTCTAATGTCTGCCATTACTGACATTAACCCTGAAGAGATAAATCCAACACAGTATTATAGGACATATAAATAACACAAACAGAAATTATGTTTCCAAGAGGAAAAGTTACAAAGCAACAGATAACATTAATTGGCTTTAACTACAATACTTCTCTTGATTTGCAGAGAGAGTTAGGATACAACTCATTTGCTGTTTCCTCAGAGTATATCCTACACAGTCACAAAAACCCCCATGGAATAAATGTTGCTTGATGAAATTCATGCTTGATAAATGACTGACACTCCTTAGTTATCCGCTAGTGCCTCTGGTTTAATAAATGACTTCTCATATTAGTTTCACATACATTATATGCATTTGCTGTTTGTTTAAATGCCAGAGACTGGTGTTTAAAACATATTGAAATTAATTTTTTAGTCAGAGGGTGGTGAGGCACTGGCACAGGTTGCCCAGAGAAACTGGATGCCCCACCACACCTTGGGGTGGGTTCAAAGCCAAGTTGGATGGGGCCCTGGGCAGACTTATCTGATGGCTGGCAGCCCTGCTCATGGCAAGGAGGGTTGGAACTAGATGATCTTTTAAGTCCATTCTAATCCAAGCTAATCTATGCTAATTTTATGATTAATTTTGAATTCTAGAATACTGGGAAAAAGTTGTAGTTCAATTATGTTTCTACAATTTGATTCCCTGGGTTAAAACACTGATTAACATGATGAAGCAGAAAGCACATATTTTTTTGTCTAAGCAGTAGTACTAGCCATTAAATAGTATTAAAGAATGATCTAGAGGGAGGAGCTCTTTTTTATCCATTTCCCTGACAGAAAAAAAAAGAATTCTGAAACTATTACCTTGGAGACCTGCATACTTCAGGGATGACCAGTTTGGTATATTGTAACAACCTCCACCATCTTCTTGTTCTTCTGACTCACACCTATACAGCACTTGATTTAAGTCAGCCAAAGTTAGTTTAGATGCAATTCTGGAAAAGCAGAAACAAACAACAAAACACAACACACTCCACATTAGAAGTCTACTTTAAGTCACAATTACACAGAACAACAATGAAAGAGCCTGGAAACCTTTTAAGTATCAATTCTGTTCAGTACTATACATATGAAAAGAAAATCTCAGTTTTATAACAATCCAAAAATCCAACCATAAAAACAGCAACAAATCCTTTCTTTAAATTTTCAGACATTTTTGCTCTTACTGTAGTTCTCCTTTAGAAACCCAAAGAATACTTACGAAGAAAATAATGTTTTTAATATAGGTGCTGAATGATCATCAGGAAGACTCCCAGATTTAAAGTGAGGACTGAACTGAATCAGATGATTGCGAAGTACACCAACAGCTTCTTGTGCCTTTGGATCAAGACTAACTCTGAAATATGAATGTATAATTTACAGAATGAAGTACTTATCATAACCATTTCCCAAATCTCAAAAACAAAGAATCCTAATATTCTATTTTAACTAGTACAGCCATTTAGCAATTAGTAAAACGTACCTGAATACTATTACACTTCCTGGTGTTAAATTTTCAAATTCTATTTCTTGGACAAATTCATTTGGCCCTTTTATGGCAGTTCCAGCTTGCTTTATAATTTTACTGTCTTTAATCTTAGAAAAGAGAACATATTCATAACTGAAAATCAATGTCTTTTTTCTAAGGTAAAAAAAATCATAACAAGATATTACATTAGAACACAGATGAATAAGGATAATTACCTGGATATGCTCTCTGAGGTCCACTGTGAAATTAGGCAATCCATTTATGAAATGTTCATCTTTTTTGTAAGGACTAGTGCTTTTCTCTATAGTTCTAGCCTCAAATACTACTTCTTCAATTTTTCCTAAGAAAAGCAAAACCATGTTGCAGCTATTAATATGGATTAAATGAGAGCTAACACTTTTGAATACATGAACTAAAAAAATCAAGAGCTAAAAAACTAAATATGTAAAATGCAAGCCTCTATGGTACAACAAAAGACTAGCTAACAAAACACATGGGAAGTGCTATAAATAACCCATAAAGCATTCATTACACACTCATCAACTATCTTATTTTAAAATTGCATTTCTTTTCATTCTATAATAAAATAAACCATTAAATCAATTATCAAATGGTGAACTAGAACTTGTTATTTTATTGTTGTTTTTTAAAGCATTAGACTAGTTTCCAAGCTACAGATATGGATGGTGTATTTTCAAAGAGTAACAACTTACATTTACGAACAGTAATTCCTTCCAGCACCCTGTACAGCTAATCAACTTCCTCTTGTCTTACCATTTCATAAACACAGATAAGTGGGGAAGTTACAGCAGAAAGTTGTATGAAAATATGAAAACCTTTGAAAATCCCAAGCAAGTTTGTTGTTATTTCTTTAACCACCTTTGGTGCACACAGATTAGTACCACAAAAGTAGTGTTATATACTGAAAATTGTCACATTAAGTTTGTGTGTTAAAAAAAGAATAGGAATACCTTGAATTAATACACACACATATACACATTATTGCTCGCAAAGAAATCTGATTACCTGGGATACACATTTCAGGTACTTCTTTACTGTAGAAGGAAGTCTTTGGATCCCTGAAAGCAGTTCTGCTTACAGCCACAACAGACTGGTGGGTGTTAGGGCAATGTCGTGTCACTGCCACTATATCTTCATCAACTTGATCTACATACACCTAGAAAAGACATATCATTACAAACAGGCTCATTCAAAATATAAATATAGAAAATCAAATTGTTACCCCGTGTCTTGCCTGATTGAAGCCTTTAGTTCCCAGCTCCTGATGCAGTCTGTTCATGGCTAGCCTTCCAGCTAGAATTCCTGTCTGGAAATTAACTTCACCAGAATTCAGGTGTGCTTGTGGATTCCAGTTTGAATAAAATCTCTCTTCAGATACTACGGAAATCTGTAGGGAAATTAACTTTTTGCAAATATCAACTACACTTAAAAACAAACAAATGGCGATTCCAATTATGTAATCAATTCAGATTTCATATGAAATTAGACAACCCAAGGAATGCTAACTAGTTAACTGCTTGGAATTTAAAACCAAAATAAAAACATGCTAAAAACGAACAAACGGACCCATGAAAAACAAAAACCAAAAGCTCACAAACCGATACCAGAAAAAACTCAGCATTAAAATACTTAGAATCAAATATATGTTTTTAAAAGTAATTTAGAAGCTAAGCTGTAAACACAGACCTGGTGTGGTACTAGTTCATCATAACCTTTGGTGCTTCCCGTAGCACAACACGCCATGGAAACAATCATTGCACTTGGAAGTGCATCATACGCAGATCGGTGCTAGGATTAAAAACATAAAATAAAATCACATACAAAACAAGATATATAATTCATCCCTCCTGATTCAGCAAATAGAAGATAAACTCAGTTTAGTAGAGGAACTAATTACTTACCACGTGCTTATAATTTTCTCAATAACAGATTTATTGATGACATACTACAAAAGCACTAGCAAAAGCAACGTAAGAGCAATCCTCAAATATAAGCATTTCAGTTCACACCATTCTCTCTCTCATCCTCTCCTGGAAAACAGGAGTGTAGGAGAACAGATGAACTATCATACAAAACCAATTAGCAGCTGGAATGAAAGAACCAAAACAGCTCACTGAATAGTCAGTAGGACTTTTGTTTTTCACGTTTTCAATTTTTCACCTCCAGTGAATCAGTTTTCTAAATATTGCTGAGAAGGGAAAAGAAAAAGCATGCAGACTGCAACAAGCCCTCCCATCATTCAGAAACATTAATTTAGAAAAGAATAAACAAACTCTGGTTTCCAATTTACATGCTTACCTGAATTGGACACTCATTGTCATGTGTAATATCCATGAAGAGCGCATGCGCTATTCCTGGCACCAAAGGCCGCAAACGTGGCTGAACAAAAGAGCCAACAGGCTCACCTCCAAAACGATAAACCAGCCTTCCCTCTTCATGGCTATTATAAGCTGTCATGGCCTCTACAGAACAAAACAGATAAGTGTTTGCATAAGAGTTGCTACCATACAGCACAGCGGGCACAGATGTTAAATGCAGAATTTTACATTTTTTATTTTGATGCGTTCAAATATCACATTAAAACTTTTTTCTCCAATATGGATACACAAACTTGAAGTACTCTGTTTACTATAGTGCATAAAAGTAGGAAAGGGACAAAAGAGCTTTTTTTCCCCTCTCTGGTTTCCCCAGAGGACTTAGGAAACTCATGCAACAAAAGTCAGATCTGATGCAGCACTTGCATAGTGGAGCTGTGCTACAGTTTCTTTTCTCCCTCACTGTAACAGAAGTGAAATATTTAACCTCCAGTTAATACTGTAATGTTTTGGGTTTTTTTTTTTGTTCTAGGTTTTGTTTTGTTTTTGCTGAGAATCAAATACATTACATTGAATATGAAATTAGAAGCATGTAATCCAGAAAGAATCTTTTAATTGAAGAAAATCCCAATCCCATTCTCTATAATCTGCAGCTGGAAAGTTCACACCAATTTCTTGCATTGCACATGCACAGCAAGCCTACCTCTTATTAAGGAGGTAATGCCCAGACTATTCACAAAGATATTGTCCAGCTCCTCATTTCCTGTGAACAGTTCAGCCACTACAAACAAATCAGCTCGCAATTTTCTAGCTGTGTCCAGCATGTACTGCAAAAAGCACAGCCAAAAAAGCCACAAAAAGGGGAAAGGTAGACATAAAAGAGGACAAATTTCAAAGCTAGGCAGGGATTGAAATAGGAAAATGCCATGCAGCAAGGATAAATAGAAAGCCAAAATTAAGTAATTTAGATAACGGTTGAGGATGACACAAACATAAGCAAAAATTAAGGTTTAAGATTCAACAGAGGAGGAATTAAGTACAACATGAAGAAGAGAAGATAATTGCATAAGCAAAGAACATAAATATGTAAGAGAAAAAAAAGCATATCAATGTTAGTTTAACATTAAAAACTCCAAACCATACATAACAATCCTCTACAACTTTCAACTGCTTATTGTACCTCTAATCAGGCTGGTAATTCCCAGGCGGTTGACAAAAACATTGTCAATGTACTCACTGCCCGTGAAGAGTTCAGCTATCACATAAAGATTAGGTCTGACTGATCTGGCTGTAGCTAGCATCTCCTATAGATCATAATACATTTTTAATGGAAGTCATCCATTGTCAGCTACGTACAGGCAATCATCAGTGTGAATGTTAACCAAATATAAGTGCGTTCTTCATACATGCGATTCATGAAAATAGTCATAACAGGTAGCATTCATAAAATTGTTTTTATTCTGTGGAAATTTACAAATTATCTAAATAATTCTAGAAAATATCCTGAAGATTTTAAGCCAATTACAACTTTGTTTTTAAATAAATGGTGCAAATGCAAGATGGAAAAGATCTAGTAAGCCTTCAAAAGATACTATTCCAAAAATAGTAACAAGTGTACAAATGGTGTAAGTGTTTAAAAAGCTGCATTTTAGAATCACAACTTCCGTGCACACACATCAGCTAATTTGAGTTCTTCACAGATCTAGGTAAGCTCTGTGCCAAAGCTAAGACATGGCACAGCAAACTACACAACTCAAACCTGTGTAAAACTACTTTACTAGTTAAGTACAATTTCTGGATGTAGTCAGCTCCGTAGGGAGCAAGCACTAAATCTAAGCAATAAGCCTGAGTAAACTTTCTGCTGATGTTTTTGCCAACATTTGAATTATGAAATGTAGAAACCTTCCGGTCTAATTCAGCAACAGTGAAACACATATGGCAAATAAACACTAATAATGTTTACCAAGTCTTAGAAATGACCATGACTAGAACTGTTATACTAGATACTAGCAGTGATTGCATTTCAGTCCGCAGCTGCATGAGAGAAGTTTCCCATACCCATCACTGCCTTTGGTGTTTCAGCTGAAATAGAGAATGAAAACATACAATAGCTACACCATTTTGGTAACTGTTCAGAGTAACTAGAATTACATCTAAATATTGCCAGTCAAAAACATTGTCTACACTGAGGAAGCTTTATTCACACAAACCCTATAGATTTTGTATAAGCAGAGGACAACTTATTTCCCATTCAGAAGCTGCTTTACCATCAGTGTGCTTAGTTTCACGTACCTCAGCTACATGAATAGGTGTTGAGTGACAGTTGTCAAGACGAACACCATGGAAATATTTGGCAGTGATTTCAGTGTATTTTTTCATATGTGCCCAGAGGTACGGGCAGTCTTCGGGTTTGTTACCATACCGCAGTTTCACACTGTCTCCCCAGCAAATAAGCTCTCTTCTCAAGTACACATTTGAACCTGAAAGGGAAATAAATGCACTGTAGTACACATATTGGATCGAATGTGTACCAAAAGATGTGGCATTTTGTCTTCTACTGCTTAAGAGTAGAAGGATGCTGTGATTATGAGTAAAAATTCTAACAACAACCACATTAACTCAGAATCCATATACCTTCTACCATTGTATAATTTCAGACCACTCCAATGGAATAATTGAATTCAGTAGTAATACCGAAATTCTCAAGACTGACACTAAATTACATTTATTTCTTTAAATATGGCAGTTGTACTCGAGAAAAAGAGCAATGAACGTGGTGAATTCAACAGCATAATACTTCATTTCCAGAAACTTTACGAAGTTAGTCATTTATAAAACAGCATACATATGAACAGAATCACTAGTTTGGATGTCTATGCTGGTCAAACTCTAAAAAGCACTTCACTTGTCATAAACAAACTGCCACAGCCACAGTTCAGAATATAATCTTTTGCTAACAGCAGATTGCAATGTCATAAGCCAAATTTCTTAAGTACTCAGGTGGATAGGTAACTTAAATGGACGAGGTCTCTAAAATATTTATCCTCCATAGAACCTAGTTTTATTTTACCTTCTTTTTTTTTGGTTTTAACTTCTTTTTGATGTAATCTACTAAAAGAAAAATAACCAACACTGTATAAATTGGAGTTCAAGTGTATATAGAATAAACCTCAATTTATGCCAGAGTTTTAACTGTGGCAAAGACTTAAACAGTCTTATCTAAAAAAGTGACTTATCTCCCATATAAAACAGGTATTTGACATGGCAGTATCGAGATATTTTTTCAATGTTATTTTCAACAAGTAATATCTGAGCACAATAAAATGGAATTTTCAATAATTAAAGTGCAGCAGGAGAAATACTGTTGCCTTTGAGCCATCAGTCTTCTGAAAGTCTGTTTATATTCACTGTATCAAAGCCCAATCAAAGCATGAATAAGCTCAGCATTATTCTGGATAGCTAAGACAGAGCTGCTGCATCACTCTCAGCTATTTCCAGATTAGCTATACTGATATTACTTTAGTGGTTGAACCTTGGATAAGATAGGAAACTTATTCATCCAAAAAGCAATCCTGCCTTAGCAAACAGATCATCATTCAGTCAGACTAATTCCATAAGGCTCATGTCATGGGCATATACAATGACAGATACATAATAAGAACAAGCAGCTAGCAGGAAGAAAGCAGGGATTTTAAGATGCTTCTGCTACCAAAAATGTTAATTTAGGCACAATCTACACTACAGTATCACAGTCTTGACATAGAAACTTAAACAGAAAAAACAATTTTCTTTGGATATACACCAAGCTTGTTTAAGTTACAAAACTAGCTGCGTTTCAACTGCTGTACTCATGCCCTTATGTATCATCTCCTTACACTGCTTTATGGTACACACTATTCCTACTGAGACTAAATGTGGGACACAGGTATATGAAACACAAAAAGCCATAGATCAATTCAGAGACAACACAATAACAAATCACTAAAAACAGTGGCCAAAAGAAAAAAAATTGCCCAGGATTACCCAGAAAAGGCAACAGAAAAACACATACAAAACACTTATCTTTACTGATGCGTAAAGGAAAAAACTAATAGAAGGCAGTAAAATGGCTACAGATTATATTGCAAACATAAGGTTCCACTGGCACATTTCATTGTGGATTATCAAATGGATTATCTTCTAAAGCAGACACAGCAAAATCCGCCTTTTTTTGAAATTTAATTAAACTGGCCATTATTTGATTCAGTTTACAAATAGCATTGCTATCCCCAAAGAAGTTAGTATGCATTTTCCTGAATGGTAAATAAATACCCTGTGATACCTTTACAAGTAATCCACATACTTAGGTGGATTAATTTTCTTGACAATGCCTGCATAAACAGGTATTACGAACCACACACTGAAGGTGCCCCTAATGCAGAGCTGACAAATACCTAGAATGAACTTAAGTCAGGGACAGAAAGAACACTGTTAGCAGTTAGCTTTTAACATCAACATCAATATTTTCAGTTCAGTCACTAGCAATCCTTCACTTTGTGAGCATAAGGATGGTCCTTTCTGTTCTGATGCAGAATATGGGCTACAAAGAATAGAAAATAAATGGATCAACATAGTCTCTGCAGAGAAAGACTGTTTGTCATCAATAGAAACTGAAGTTTGACATAAAGTACTACCTAATCTCATTCTCCTCCCAGTAAATACTGGTTTTTTTTTTTTTTTTTAAGACATCTTTATTAAAAAAATATAATCGCTAAATGTCTAACTTCATAATAGTTAAGTGTTATTTTCAACAACCTCGCCCTCCTACTGCCCTAAAACCAACCCAACAAAAATACTCACCAGTATTCTTCATTCATTTTTTTAAGTGTAATTGAGGGTTTTGAAGAAATTATCTGTGAGCTAGTATTTCAGAAATTAATTATACAGCCTTTCCTTTAGATTATAACTACCAGCAATTTTGCAATGACATACCAATGTTTTTTTTCAGTGTGGTTCTACTTACACAGTTATGCCGAGAGACTTCACAATATACCAGTCACACAGGGAGCGAAGGTGACCTGTTCCTTTGCCACTGATGCTAAGATGGGAGGAACGAGTCCCTCTCTGCCATTCATCCCAACATCATCTCAATTGCTCACCTCTCAACTGCCTGACTGGTGCACAACGGATATTTCAAAAAGTGTTTTTGCTCACTAATGCAACGTACTAATATTCATGATTCCATCACGTTACTTTTCTACTGCCTCATGGAAGTGCCAACAAGTAGCAGCGTTGGAAAAGAGCACAGGGTAATCAGCAACAGAAATAGGGGAGGAAAGATGTCCTTATTTCAGTGGCAGAAAGCTGGTAATTTCTGTCTCAAATCTTGTGAAATGGTATCACAAATCTATTTTCATAGTTACTCCTCATCATGATGAATAGAAATAGAAGTGCTATAATTAAGAGTATCTGCCTGCCATTTGGCTTGTTGTAACTTTATAGGAATATTTGTGGAAAAAAGTAGACTAAATAAACTAGACTAAGCATTTAGCCTATTTGTTATGCTTTAGCTAGAATATTAAAAGGTTAACAAGACTGTTCAAATTTATTTTACAAACCTGGTTCTGCAAAGTTTCTAAGAGGATCATCACCCATAACCCATCCGTTATGGGCCATGAAATAACAAGCTTTATCTGGCTGATGCATCATACTTTGTTCTTCCTCCACAGTCAGGTCTTTGAATGGATAAGTAAAATACCTATGGAATTGACAGGCAATTTAAAAAAAATGCGTTAACTGAAATCCACTGTCTTAAAAATTAAAATATCTGCTATCAACTGACTTGAAGACAAAAAATACAACTAGCTGTTGTTAGAAAAGTCACTATTGTTTATTGTTTTTTTTGGTTTTTTTTGGTTTTTTATTTTTAATCATGTTTTGAAGGACAAAGGATGGAGGCAGTCACTATCTTGGTGTGAAGTGGTAGGGTAAGATTAAAGTCACAGCCCTTCAGATACATTAGTGGCACCAAGTGCATCAGACTTCAAACCTTTCTAGTTCCACTCCTTTTCCACCTAGAAGAGCAATTGGCACTACATAAGGTTCTATTGCGCTCTGAGCACATTTAACACCCTCCAACATCACATCTGTTTTTTAAATCTTTTTTCTTTAAAATGTAGTCAGTTTATTGATGAAGTAACACTTGTCTATGGGAGAGAAAAGACATAATTGTATTTACAAATGTTTACTGTTAGTGAACTTTACATTCACATTCCCTGAATAGATTCTAATAGTTTTTAGCAACAAAAAAAATAATACCTGGTAACTAAAGGATATTTTCTACTGATAGGGCCTAGTTTAGGACCATGACCAGCCAGACGTTCATACACCACCGTTCCTGCAAGACAGTTGACAGCCTAGAAATAATTAGATTATGCATTATTAGAATGCCTAAATGTATTTGCAATGCAAAACAACTCAGCATTTAAAACACAGAAGCTGTAAAACCTGCTCTTGATGATGATGAATCTGCCTGTATTGCTCAGCATTCAGTTCCTCAATTCTCTTGCGAAACCAGTTACAACATTCTTCTATTGCACCTGGTCCATTGCTTAGCAGAAAGAAAGAGCAGAGAGCAATTAGAATAATTTAGTTTTAAAACAAGTAACTGAAATGAAGCAAGATGTTTATCTCTGATTTTTTTTTTTTGTAAATTTAACTTGTGGTTAACAATACAATACCTGTGTGGTATGAACGTTGCCAGTGCTATGTTCATATCTACAGTACAACCAAATCGTCTATAATCAGGGTCTTGAACTATTTGAAGATGTTGATTCGGATCAGACTTAGTGCCTATTTTGCCTGAGGACAAAAAGAAAACAGTATCAATAAAATAGAAATTACATATAGAAGACAGAGAACTTACACTGTTCAAGCACAAGCAATATATGGGTAGACAAAAAACTTTGAAGGAATAAAGAGAAGAATATTTAAGGTATGACAGAGATGGCTACTCAAAAATATTTGTGCTCAGTTACAATATTGGATTCTGATGAAAACAGTAATTTATATATTTTTTAATTCTCCTCTTTTCTACTGAAACTGCTTCCCAGACTACTAAGCGTAGTCTTCAAAGACTTTACCAGGACTCAAAAAATCCTCATATGTTTAGATCAGCATAGTAGATTTTTCACATAAGAACAAGCAGGATTATTTAGTTTTCCAGCTTGGGCCTTTTAGAGTTTACCCATAAATTTTCTTGAAATATAAATAAAGAATCTGCCTGCTCCAGCAACACACTCTTCCTTTACCTTTAGTTAGAAGGGTTCTAAATTGCTGCACAGCTTTATTAACATCCACTTGGAAAAATTCCCACAGTTTAATTTTTGGATATATATCTTCCCAAATGATTTTACGGATACACTGTAAAAATAAAAACTATGTCAGTTGAGGCTAATGATTAATATAACCAAAGAAAAGCTAAATGCTCGTATGAATCAGAGGGAAAAAATACAGGAATAAAGATTTGTTTTGTTGAATATACCTGCAAAGTACATTTGCTGTGTGTTTCCACAACAGGATTGTGGACTGGTAATTCAGATTGGTAAAGGATTCTGATATTTACAATGTTCATTAGCTTACATTTAATTCTCATTTACTTACATTCAGGTGATGATCATTTTCTATCAAGGGAGGGACTCCTTTATCAATACACCTTCCATCAGCCACCATACAGCTCAGGTGCCACAGAGCTCTGTCTAAGACCCAGGCTGGCTTCAGGTGAGGAGAATTTACAAGGTTGTAGCCACATTCTGGATGCATCCTGAGCCACTCGCTGTTAGCAGCTTATTCAACAAAGGAAGGAAGGAAAAAGTACACATGCTGAATACTTAGTTATTTTATGCAGAAATCTTAACAGAAAGCTAAGCTACTGCAGTATGTTTAAATAGCTCACATTTCAGATCAAGTTTTCCATGCTAATAGACAATAGCATCTTAAGAAGATCTGTGCATCACTGATAGCTATTTGTACCATAACACAGTTGCAGAGATTGCATAGAATCTTTTTGTTATATCAAAATATGTAACAATATCAGCAATTCTAAACCAGTAAGGAAAGAAGAGTCACATTTGTTTTGTTTTGCTGGAAATAAATCAAATAAAGCATCTGAAACTCCCATTCTGTGTTGAAAGTAAAATTTACACCCCAAATCAAGATTTATAATGGCTTAAGGTGTTACATATGTTTTCATTCTTACTCTTATCTGATGCTACACATGCACAAGCACACAGAGCAAGACACAGGAACATACACATCCCTCCAGAAATAATCAAAGTGTATAAAGATGGACTTGTAAGAATGGATTAGCTTGTGTTACTAATCAAAAGCAGCTTGTGTAAATAAACGAAAGTGTAGTGGTGGAAAGGGATGCCAGAGCGTCTCACACTGTCTGTACAAGGCAAACTGAACTCTAGTTCAGATCAAACATGAATGTGTCTATTTTCTGATTGTATCCAGCGGCATCCACAAGTACCATTAGGTATGAACTCAAAGTTAAGGAATCTTAACTTGAAACTGAGTGTGAAATTCTGATGTAATTGTATGCATACAACAATAGGAAGTTAAAGCATACAGAGCAACAGGAACTTTAATTCTTGAAATATGACAAAGAAGAAAAAGGTTTCAATGATTAATTTCTATTTTTAAAACTGTTCTAATCATATAGCTTAACTGAAAAAAAATTTCAATGCACTTTTTGAATGAATCTCTGCAACTTAAAAACAACGTATGCAAAAAAATAGGTGGTGTGTAACAAAAAGTTGCTGCTCATGCTTTCCGAGACACTTTAAATCATTCATCATAGAAGACATCTTAATAACACAATAGGTTAGAAAAGCAGATAAAGTATCAAATAGAAGAAATAAAGTAATTATTACATTGAAAACAGAAATAGTAATTAACATGCCCCAAATCGTAGCAGAAAAATTAACAACTAAAAAACCAGTTTGCTTACTTCCAAGTCCAAACAAAAAAAAAAATTCAAAAGTAAAGAAATGAATGTACTTTCCCACTCCGTAGTTTAGAAGAGCTATTCATACACCCTCCTGCATTACATTTCAAGACCATTACGAAGATGGCAAAACTCCATGTTTATAAGGTCAAACTACTTCTGGAAGCTAAGATCTTCTTGGTTTAAAATGTCACGTACAACTAACAGCACTGTACTTAATTTAAAGCTACATAAAGTAGTGATAACTTCATGCTGATAAAAAATATTCTGGGCCAATCAGATCACTTTTTTTTTTTTTTTAAATAAAGTATACGTACAATTTGAAAAGCAAACAAAGTGACCTCACCCTCAAAAGCCCAAATTATCCTAGTCTGCTCTTTCAGCAAGAACCACAGTTTATTACAAAGGACTTTCATGAGTAAATACAAGGAGTTTTAAAAAGGCAGTATAGTCTAAATCTACTATGATCCTACTGGGGGGGAAAAAAGTCAACAGGCCTTCTACTAATTCTGATGCATAGAGCTACATTTTGTGATAAGAAGAAATGCCATCTGGTTATGCCAAAAAAGGTTTTGATGGAGTATCAGGTAGTATTTCTTTACAGAAAAGTAGTTAGGTATTGGAAGAGTCTGCCCAGGGAAGTGATAGAGTTGCCATCCCTGGAGGCATTTAAGAGATTTGTGGATGTGTCTATTAGGGAAATGGCTTAGCAGTGGACTTGGTGGTGATAGTTGGACTTGATATTCTTATGGATCTTTTCCAGCATAAATGATTGTATGATTTATAGCATCAAAAAAAAAAAAAGTCTGCTTCTGGAGAAAAAAATTGCACAAAGCAAAGCTTGTGATTACATTTGTTACAGATAGCAATAATACTCACAAACAAGTACAAAAAAAAAATTCAATAGGAAGATGGAGAATTAGAGAAAACAAGTTCTAAAAGTCAATACATCTTTGTGTAAAGAGGATTACCCTATTTCATGCTGCTCAAAAGACACATTTATTGTTATATAAACTAAACAGAAACAAGGTCTGGTAGTGCTGCTCACTGCCTAGGACTTGTTTTTCCCTTTATGAAGCCAAACAAAGGTGGTGTTTGATGTCACTGGCCAAGGGCTTGGAAGTAAGATTTACAGAAGTGTTAAATTATTGCACTTAGACAACAGTAGCCTCTTCTGAAAGAAAGAAATGTTTTACTTCAGCTCAGAAAAGAATTATCCTTTTTCTATCTCTGGGAAAAAAGTAAATGCAGGTGAATACAGTATTCTTATTTCAGGTTGCTTGTTTGAATACACTGAAGGGAAAACGATCAGCAGGGCTCATCTAGTCAGTTATCAGGCAAAGGTTACGAGTTTATCTATGACATTCCAACTAACGTGCCAAAAGTGCATTCATCTACATCACACATATGGTCAGGCCACGGTTGCTGCTTTCAATAGAAAATAACAGAGACGTTAACATAAAAAACTGACTCCCACCACTCTCTATTATAGAAACATTCTATACCTCTTCCCAGTGGAAGAAAAAACACAGACATTTAAGCTTAACCGCTTCATAATGAAACTCAGTTGGCTGACTGTACAGTAGGAACAGTGGGGAAGCACTGACATTTTATAGAGCAGTCTTAGCTAGAAAGAAGAAACCACCACAGGTACTGACTGCTGTAAGGTGACAGCTCATGAGCTGTGTTACAGCTTGAGAGGATTTGTCATGAGACAACTCTGTGCCAGAAGCACCTAAAATATTTACCTCCACCTGCATGTGCAAAACTACAGCTTTAGCAGTCAGTGATCATTTACACACGTTTCTGCTCATGCTAAATCTGGCACTTGGAAGTTGGTAGTCAGCTGCAAACCAAGAGGTTCTGATAGTTAACAACCAAAAGGGGAAAAAAAAATCATTCAATTCTCATTGTGAGTTCAGAAGCTTGAAGCTAAATACAGTTTGATTAATAACTTAAGACAGAATCTTGGTCATTTCAAGACACTCAAACATCCATGCACCACAGTATAATTTTAAAAATAGTTTACTCATCCATCCCATCAATGAAAAATAATATGGACTCTGCTTGAAAACTGACAAAGTCCTTCTGCTAATGTAACCAAGTAACAATGTGACTGCTTTCAAGAATATACTGAAGTTCAATAATTAGTTTTGACTTAAATATTTCTGTCCACAAAAACATTTTCCTTGGTAGCACACAAATACACAGGATCTCAAGCACGTGTGAGACAAACTAAATTCTTTGTTAGTTGTTAAAGCGAAAGAAACTTTTTTTTTCCTGATGAGAATGTCAAAAACCAGATTCCCTTCAGACACAGGGTTAATCACACTCAGAGTAGCATTTCAACAAACAGACAGGACAAACAACAGGGCCCGTTTTACATTGCTGACTGATTGGCTAAGAATGTTTAGCAACAGTCAACACCAAAGAACTAAAGCAAATAAAAGCTTGTAATTCACAGAAATCTATGATTCAGGGTTTTGTTTTTTTAAACATCAGAGGACAGCGACATGAATGTTAACAGAAACTTGTTGCTCTCTCATGTCACAAGAATACTAATCAGTGCAGTCCTCAAGAGTGTAAGATGAAAAGTGCATTTTAAACATAATAAAAATTCTTGTAATCCAAATAACTAAACTTACAGATAACGAAATACTATGACTGACTTCTCAAGTTTGAGAACAATCTCGCTGTCCCTCTCTGCAGGGCAGACAATGTTAGCTACGAACAGCATTTAGATGCAAGTCTTCAGTGCACCAGCACATTTATGCTTAAAAAACAAAACAACAAAACTATCTACTTCACCACCAACACACAGCCGTAACATTTCCTCCACTGCTTAATCCTAGTCCCTCGTCTCTATTCTGATTGTTTTCCGTGCATTTGAAACAATTAGAGCAGTAAAAAAAAAAAATAAATAGCACCAGTAATAATTCTGTTATCAAGAAAGTAGTCAGTTTAAGCTTGTTACATTCATTTTATAGGCTGAAAGCTGCACAGCACAGATCATAAGCACGGTATGAAAAATACAGACACACACAGTTCTTTAATTCCATCTAAGAAAGGCTCTATTCAACTCAAGCAGCAATACAAAATACTCTTACATCTGTTATGGAGACTATGTAATATCAGTGATTTTTTGAGGGGGAAAAGTTAAAAGAAATAACAAAATAAAATTACAGGACAAACTTGGTTATTCACATAGAAATCATACCAGTATGATTGTAGACTACATCTGTGATGCAAAGCATATTCCATTCATTTTTCATTTTTTCCACAAGAGCTCCTATATCATTCCACGTGCATTTTTTGTTATGGCTTGAAAATTCAGGATTAACTTCTAACTGATCAGCCAGTGAATAGCATGATCTAGACAGTCCAAGCTTCTGCAATGGTGTAAAATGGATCATGTTGTAACCTATGAAATAAGAAACCATTGATATCATAAGAAAAATCAAATTTCAATATAAGAAGTTAACAGACAGATGCATAATAAGTTACAGTTATAGCATATACATAAGCCTCGCATTTGAAATAGCCAGTATAAATTAAATCTGAATCTTTACTTTAAAATTCTAAATAGTAGTTTAAAAAATTATCCTCTAATTTCTACAAACTTCATATCTATCTGAAATCAACAGAATACAATAAAAGTATTAGGAAATCCTGATTTTTTGCACTGCTGCAAATACTTAAATTTGATTACTTAAATCTACTGACTTAATCTGTTAATTAAAATTAAATTTGGGGGAAGATATTTGATCTACAAACTAAAGGACTAATTAACTGTGAACTCAGTTTAACTTTGTTTTCTTGTCACAAGAGTAATAAAAAAAAAAAGTGCATCTTTTGATATCTATATTGGCATTACCTGTTTCTTTTGCAACTTTAAGCCTATTTTCCCATTCATGGAATGGTCCCAGACACTTAGCGAGGAATGTCTGGAGTGTAACACAGTCCAAAGGCAACACATGGTTATCGGCTCCAACACGCAGAATAGGATCCACAACTATGTAACCTCCACCACTTTTCTCATTTCTAGGAGAAATAATTTTCATTGGTATGATAAACACACATTGCACCAGTCAGTTTCAGAAACAAAATCCAACAAGCACAACTATTTCAAATGCACAGTAACTCAGAGGATAAAGGATTGCAGGTGGGTAAGCAGAAACACTGGAGAGAGGTTGATCTCCTAGGCAGCATCTCTCTACTGGGCTTACAACAGCTGCTAATAAGAACACCATTAGCACACAGTTTTAAACTCTATGCAAGTAAGATAACTTTGTTACCTGGGGAGACAGAATACTGCTCCATCTTTTAGAATATGGATGGAAACAGGACTGCCTATCTTTTACATAAAGACCTCCATTTGGAGCATTATCCTGGGAAAGAGATCTGAGCTAAGGGTCCTTTTAAGCCAGAGGGAATCTAACCACCAGCTATCTTACAGAAGCTCAGAGCACTAGGCCATTACAGTTACCCTCCTCTGTTGAAACAAAGAAGGAAGTAAATAACGTGAAGTAAAGAATGACAGAGCCTTTATGCTAGAAAGATAGAGAACAACCTCCTATTAAGTGAAAAAAGTACAAATTAATCACTTATGCTTAAAAATCTGATGACTGAAATCTGGTAAAACTGTTCTGCTTTTCCAATATTCACAGCTGCAAATTCTCCAGAACATATTTGTATCAGAAATTTTTCAACAACCTCAACAGCCGTTGCTATTGAGCAGATTCAGATAGATTTAATTGTTGTATATTAAAATGCATAGAAAAAATTATGATTTTATTCTTAATAGCAATTTCTTCAGGTTCAAACAAACCAAAGGAGCAGATTGCATTATGGCTGTAAGCAGAGTTCACTTACCCAAGACTAAAATAGTACTGATAGGACCCAGAAATTTGGAGATCTAACTTGCAATATTTGTCAGAGTCATCCTCTTTTCCTGTGGGATTGTGCCATGATAATGTTCTGAACTTGTGGCGATCAAATACTTCTCCAGAAGCTGGATAGTTTGTACACACAGTAACATGCTTGCCTTGAAGAGTTGGGCCCAATCGAAACTGGAGTTCAAACCCTCAAGAAAAAAAGAAAAATCTCATCAGGAGGACTGGACATTCCTACTCTCTAATAACAAACTCTACTTCGGTTTTATGTTAAGAAGACAATGCACTAGCATATCTGCCAAGACCTTTTGCAGAATGGTATATTTCTACAGCATCTTTTCCTCCTGCTTTCCAAGTTTTTTTCTTTGCACTCTCCATTGAAGTCTTTCCTATTCAATTTGTTCTGCTTTGTTTTATAAAAAGTGTTGGAAATAAAATGCAACAGAAGTCACAGTCATCAGACTACATACAATTTTAGGCAGGCTGTAGCACTGTGGAAAAAAAAAAAATACAAACTAAAACGTAAAATTCAAGTTTACCAAGTCTATATATTAAGTTGATTCATGAAACTATTTGGAAAAAAGGAACAAATTTGAAACCATAATAATTCAATTTCCTTCATTCTCTACTGAGAGAATTCACTGAAGTCTACATTCCTTATGGTTTAACTGCAAGGTGATGGATATCTGCTTGTAATCTACAGGGTACATACCATTAAACAGAGCTCAGCAAGTTTAAGTGAGCTTTGTATACATGCTGCAACTCACACACACTTCAGGGAGAGCTGTATTTAGAATAAAGATACCCATGATAAAGGCACTACAATTAAGTTCAAAATATTATAATGTTAAAACTTGCTGTAGTCTGTTCAGCTGGCTATGAAGAATAGAGTTTAGCTAGCAGGTTTCAGAGTTGGTCTTACTTGAAGGTATGAGAGCCTCTTACCATGTACCTAGCTAGTCACAGGGTCCTTTCAAGTGACTGACAGAGGTACAAGTGTTTGCACTCTGCTGCTGACTTTTACTGAATTACACACCAGTCATGAAGGTGGCTGTAATAACACCAGTAGCTTTAAATAATGAATTTAAAAGATTGAACAGTCCTAGAACATGCTATCTTAAATTGGAGCAAAGTAAAACAGACAAACCAACCCAAATAAGCGCTCATCGTATAGAATCCTAGCAGATCTAATATGAGAATTCAATCTCTGAGTAGATGTAAATCAAAATCTCACCAAGCTTACACCTTCTCTTATTAACAACTACTACACCAAGAACTCCAGGTAAAACCAGTGGTTTTAGGATCAGAATGTCTGATGTCACGTAAAATGAAGCTCATTTTATTGCCAACAAAAACAAATCTTCCATGAAAAAAATCACTTCTGAAGGCTTAGTGCACTCCCTCTGGTACAGTCCTGACATTTTATTGCAGGGATGACTAAAATTAGAGCACAGGGATATATGGCATCAATATCTAATTTCCTGTAACAGTTATACTGATATGAAGAACGCCGTGCTCAAAATTAGCCATGCCCTCTCAGAGACTGTCAGCAGCAGAGGTGTTCTGAATGTTTGATAGGAGTGCATTGCCGAGTCCCTCTGACAGAACTCACACAACTGGGAGGAAGATAATAAGGGTTGGGGCCAGCACTACACTTCTTCCCTAATGACATTTTTAGATCATGTTGTCAGAAAGTATTAAAACTGATATACTTCAAGGGAGTTCTTATTCCCAAGAGTCAAATCTCCATCCTCCTTACTGAAGTACTTAAACATGAGACTCCAACATAAAGTGAAAATAAGCAAAAGAGTTTCATGAGCAATAACAGTTGCATCATGAGAAAAAGGTTGCTAAATAGACTGGCTTTGACTTTAGAACCTGAATTCGCTGACCAGCATAATAATACACCAGTTCTAGGTGGTATTGTCACAGGGAATATGCTTAAGAACACTTTCAAAGAGAAATATCAAGTTCATATTAGTATGCAGCCAGAACACCAATGCAGCACAGGCTCAGGAAATCTGACAGGCAAGATAAGATTTAGGGTCCTGTATTCTCAAACGTTGCCTCGAGCATTACAAAAGGTTTCTATCTTTACTCTGTTTCAATATTATTGTATTAAAGACGAGGTGTTGCATAACACAGCACAGATTAACACTACAGTCTGATTTATGAGGACGTTTCAGGGTCAGTACAGTCTGTTCGTGCAGGGAGAGCCTCGGTCCCACAGGGGCCGCATAAAAAAACATTAGAAGAGGGAGAAGCGCAAACAGAGCCCTACCACAAACCAGCCCCGGCCTCCCTCCCTTTCTCGCTGCCCGAGGGCGGCGGACAGCCCCCGCCGACCTCCCAAAACCCGGCCCACCTTGCTCCAGCCTGAAGAGGGTCTTGTCCAGCTTCTCCATCTCGTTGAGGTGCAGCACCCGCGTCTCCTTATGGCTCGGCATGGCTGCCGGCGGCCGCTCGCGGCAGGCTCAGCGCGGGCGAAAAGCGGCGAGCCCTGCCGGGAGAACACACACAGACACACACAGCCCCGGTCAGCGGGCACCCGGCAGGCAAGCGGCCGGCCGCTGGGGAACGCCTCCCGCCTCCGGGCCAGCTTACATCTTCCCTAGCCCCGGGGCGAGAGGAGACAGGGCGCGGGCAGGGAGGAGGAAGGGAGCACCCCGCCCTCCCCCGAACGGCGGCACCCGAGAGCGGTTCTGACCCCGCAGCTGCCGCGGCCGCCCCCGGGAGGGGGAGCCTGGCACCTGTCACTCCTGCCCGCCGGGCCCCTCACGCAGTCCTGCCCGCGCGCCCCGGCGCCTTCCATACTCACGAGCGGCCCGCAGCGGCGCGCGCGCGGCTCCCGGTGAAGGCTGCGGCGGACGGGGTCGGGACAGCGCAACCGCTCGCGGTCCGCAGCTCTGGGCCGGGCGGCCGCTCGCGCAGCCCCTAAAAGCGGCGACAAACGCCCTCAGAGCGCCTTTCCCCCGCCCCTTTTCTTGCTTTTCTGAAATAAACTTTACCGGTTCCGCCCGGCCCCGCTCCGAGGCAGGCGGTGCCGGCACGGCTCGCGCGAGAGCGATGTTCCCGCCCCGAGGCTGCGGCCGGGCCCGCCCCGCGCTGCGGATGGAGCCGGAGCCGCCGCTCGAGGCTCAAGGAGCGCGAGGTGGCGGCGCTCTATTTTGCAGCCGGGACTCCCGGCGGTGCCTCTTTCGTACGGTGCGAGCGAACGAGCACGAGAGGCTGCCCGGCGGGGAGCTCTGGCTCTGGAAACAAAAGTCTGCGCGGTGTGAAGGGCGTTAATGACAGCCTGGACACCCGGCGCGGCTGCCGCGTTTGCTCCCCGAGCGCCGCCGCCTTACAGCCCGCCCCGCCGCAGGGGAGCCCGGCGCCGAACGGCGTGCAAAGCGCTGTACGTAGCGTGTGCCGAGGGCTGCCAGCTCTAGACAGCTTTCGCTAATCCAACGCGAGATGTTTTCGAAGAACGCTGTTGCCCGAACGGCTGTCAGCAGGCGGCCCCGCGGCGTAGCGGCTGCCTCGGCCCTGACGCCGTGAGCTGCTCCCGCTGAAAGGTCAGCCTCGCATTTTTGAAAGGTCAGTCTATTTTTATGGTCTAGAACTGCATTAAAAAAAAAATTGCTTCTCGATTTACAGCCCCTTCGCTATACTGTTTATTTCCAAAGATAGTGTACTTAGGGAACTAGAAGTCTGCAAGACCATTTAGATTTCACCATTTGCTTCCAGTCACCCAGTACACCTCACACCTGTGTCTTGCTGCAGGGCATTCCTCCTGCTTCACTGCCCCTAACTCAGTTTGCTAAGCAGGCACATTCTACATGCAGGATGACTTGCTGAAGCAGAAGCACAGTTCTATGCACACCCTGTTCTCTCTGCATTGGAGCAGTCCTAGCAAAGACACAATGTAGCCTTTGAGTGCTTACAGGGGATTTTTATGAAAGAGTGCAACTTCCTTATACCAGCAAATAGCAATAGGACAAGAGAAAATGAAGGGAAGTTTAGGTTAGGTGTTAAGAGAGATTCATTATTCAGAAGGCAGTGAGGCACTGGCCCAAGGCTGCCCCATCTCTGGAGGCAGCCAAGGCCAGCTTGGAGGTTGGATGGGATCTGGGCCCCCAGATGGTCTCTTGGGCCACTTCCAAAACAAGCCAGTCTATGATTCTCCTATGAATTTTCAAGAGGTATAGAAGTAAAAAAAAAAAAAAAAAAAAAAAAAAAAAAAAAAGAGCAAACTCAACAGACAAAGTTAAAAGATATGACCATATCTGCTCCTCAGTATCCAGAAATTGCTGTGCTACCACAGAGCCTTGCACCAGTGCTTCTGCCTCCAGGCTTTCTAGAGGCCTATCACATACTGCAGACAGGGAAGGATATAGAGATCTCATGAGATTTCTGCATAAGCAGTGAACAGTTCCAAGAGAGGAGGAGCAAATAATACCTATGTAATCACATCCTTTGCATATATAACTACCCTGAAGCACATGTTTCTGAAAAACAAGAAAAGCTAGAAGGCCATTCCTGAGTACAATTTCACTAGTACTAGTAAGACTGTCTTCTCTACTTGAATTTCCATTGTGAGTAGGAAAACTCACTTCAGTAACTAAATCTTCACTGACATCTGGGCAATGTATACTTTGAATTCAGACATGTTTTGGAATGCATCCAGGTTTATGTTAAAGAATTTGAGTCCACCAAGAAAAAAATTATTAGGAAACAAAACTAGCATACAGCCTCTGATTCCAAATCCTGAAGCTGTTACATTGACCAAGATTTATGGCAGTAGTTAGAACAGACATCAAGAATCTAAATGAAGGACTTGATGCACTACAGAACAAAAGTTCAAGTATCATTAAGTAACATAGTAATTATAGCAGTGTAATTTCACTGGCCATCAGTAAGAAAAAAAACTATTAGAAGGTTATTGAATGAATATCCCAGCTTCTCTAATCCTTTATGCCCATCACTTGATATGCTGGCAAATCTTTAAAGACTTTGGGCCTGTTTAAATTCAGCAGTGATAAATTAAGCATGCTTTCTCATTATGGGAATCACACCAGCAAAATCTGGCATTGTTAACATCGCACAGAACACAGCCAACAGCAGTTACACATAGCATTTATTACACAGGCATCTAAATGGTGAATTTCACAGTGCCATTTCATCTTCATGAAACACATAATATGCTACAGTAGGAAAAAGTCAATAGCAGCTTCAAAGTAAGAATGGACACCAAATCAATGTCATTTCAAGGAATTTTTTTTTTTTTTTCCCCAAGCATATTCAGAACCTTTCAGATTCCCCCCTTTCCTTCCATACACACCCTTCTAGTACTATCTTCCTTTCTACATTCTGTTCCACAGCACAATATTACAGAATACTACTCCCAGAAGTGGCCTCTATACACTTTCGGGTCACACTTGAGTCCTATTAGTTGTGGCTGCCTTAAAGATTAACTTGAAGGTGCAGCAAAGTAGAATACCTGCAGAACAGTATTTTTTTAAAGAAAGAAACAACTCGCAGAATAGTAGCTCCCTATAACAGGGAAAGTAAATTAGCACAGAGAACTTAACTGAACTTCAAGCTGCCTATGTACAGGAAATTATTTGATTTCGTAAAATCTAAAGTGGTAGCATTGTTTTTCTCAATGCCTCACTGTCTGATCTGTAAACTGATGAATACTGCACAAAGACACAAACAACAAGAATCTCTAGGCTATTTTTAATCTCTTCTAGATAGAACAGATTGCAATAGTTTGATATGAAAAAAAAGGATAGTAGGCACAATTAAAATAGCATTCATAAGTAAGAAATCATATGAGATGGAGAGGCTAGGACAATAATTTGTTCTTACCAAACAAATAAAAGCCTTTTGCCCCACCCAGTCATCTGGAAGCAATGGTTCAAACCACCAGAGCTGAATTTGGAGCCATCACAAAGTTTTGTACTCCAGAAAACACTTATTTTTATGATTTTGTTTTTATTCCCACCTCTGCCATTCTCTTACTCTGAGGTTTCAAACAAGTCATACTTCCTGCCAAAACATCTGTATAAAGCTACACTGCCAATAATTATTTGAATATAAATTTGTGAAATATAATGCATTATCTTTAAATAAGTCCAAAAAAGATTTTACTGTTGTTAACGTAGCTATTCATGTACTTGATTAAGATATATTTGACCACAATGTAGCTAACAATGTCACACTGATTTGGTATTATGTTCTACTGAGAATGTCATGACTTGGTACACACGATTTTAAACTAAGGATTCAAATGGTATTCTTGTATCATTTAACTTATCTAAATGTAAAATAAACTCACATGTGCCAGACCAGATTTTTTTATTTAACAAGTAGAATTTATTACACCAACTTGCTGAATCACTACCAGCATTTTTGTTTTACTGTAGATTGTTCCAGTTAACTCTGGTAAGATATACTGAGACCTAAGACTTCAGATGATCTATTCCTAATGTAATTCTAATAACGTTTTGTTGAGTGAAACTGCTCTTTTTTTAAATTTCCTCCTCAGAAGTAAATATTTGAAGTGCTTCTCAGGCACTCCATTCTTCTTCACAGTGCTCCTTCTTATTGTATCAAACTGTCACAAGGATACCATGGATGTTTTCATGGTGTATTGAAATAACTATTCTTAAATCTTATCCAGATTTGAAAAGCCCAACACAGTTGATATATTGCAGATGAACAACATGGAGCAGTTTTTAGGTACTTTAAAGTCTCTGCAAATATTTGTCTGAAACTGGCTAAAGTAACAGCTAAAGTCCTTGCAAGCATACTCAGCTATTACCACACAATTACCTCACAGGGGAGCTGTGCAGGTACTAACAAGCATGCCACTGCATCTTGCAAAGAGCATTGCTCATTGAAATCCCCAGGGAAAAAGTAAACGTGCTTTATTTTGGAGCATCCGCACACAAAAAAGACATCTCAGTTCCAAACAAAGAATGAACGAATTCTCAAAGGAGACAGAGTAAGAATTACTCAGAGAAAGGTGGAAAAACTGGACATTGGTTTCTTGTGGAAAGCCCTGTAAAATCAGATTGGAAGTAATAGAAAATTAATTCTCAATCCCAGAGCAAGGAAGTCAAAAGAAAAAAGAAGGGCCAGTGTGCAGAAAAGCATTATACTAGATCTCAATTCATTTTGTAGTTTCACACAACAGGTTGTGTCACCAAATGTTAAGTGCCATAAACTGAGGCACTTGTTACTCAGTGCTTCTACCAGCAAGTTGCTCCCTGAGAATTAGAATAAATAGAATAAATAGAATAAATAGAATAAATAGAATAAATAGAATAAATAGAATAA